ATGCAGAGGGGTGATGTAGAGGAGTGATGCAGAGGGGTGATGTAGAGGAGTGATGCAGAGGGGTGATGCAGAGGGGTGATGCAGAGGGGTGATGTGCAGGAGTGATGCAGAGGGGTGATGTGCAGGAGTGATGCAGAGGGGTGATGTGCAGGAGTGGTGTGCAGGAGTGATGCAGAGGAGTGATGTAGAGGAGTGATGTAGAGGAGTGATGCAAAGGGACGATGCAGAGGAATGATGGATACGGTTTGGTGAACACACGTAATGTACTATTTTAGTGGGCTAGCTCAATCGACTATCTCAATGAGCAGACGCGCTTCACTCCGCTTCGCCCGCTGCGATTCGCCTCCTCTCACTTCTTTTACCTTTGGAATCACGCTCAGGGTGACCTTCGAAAATAAACTCAATATCAAGTGAGAAGTGTCGAAGAGGGAAAAAATCTGATTCGAAATGTTCGCACAGATACTGTTGACTTCATGCAAAAAGGACAGCTGAGAAGAAGCCTCCAGCAGAAGGGAAAAGAGAAGAAGGATGCGATTGACCACCTGCTCGTTCAGTTTCCTAAAATGTGGAGTCTTCACCGAACGACATCCCAAGTGGGAATACCTATCTTTGTAGTAATTCTCCACATACTCATTAATGAGGAAATTAAAAACGGAGTAAAATCCACCTGACTTGTTCAGGTTATATTGGAACAAATTGTCTTTCTTGCCTGACTGTTCATAATGCATGAGTAAAAAGTCGCTGAGGAAGAAGACGTAATTATTTTGCAGGACGATTTTTAGGAAATTTTTTATGTGATTGAAAAATCTGGAAAAGGTGAAATGGTATCTCTCTACGGGTGATAACTGCTGCATTTCCTCTTCAAATGTTGCCTTTTGGATAGTGGAGTTTCCATTAACTGAGGAACCATTCATATTGAAGTTCACTGTGGATGGGTGAAGCAGCCGCTCAACCTTCCCCGCACGATGACTCCGTTGCGCATTCCTTTGCAAGTTATCCATGTGGGTAGAATGTATATTTCCCCTCTCATTGGCAAATCCATTCTGACGAGAATTTATAATTCCCCCTGGAGAATCACCCCTGTTAGAGAAAACGTTGCTACTGCTTATCCCCTTCCAATCGTAATTCTCTTTTTCAAGAAGCATAATGTCGTCCAAGTACTCCATGGTGTAACAATTGTTGGTCTGATTCCTTGTGTCTCTTTCTATTTGAAAAATATTGACTCTCTTTGTAGAATATAGCTCCGGCTTGTTCATCAAGGTCTTATGATTAATAATGATATTCCTCATGAAGCTGTTAAAGATGGCTGACGGGTGTTTCTTCCCATCTTGTTTGCAGAAGGAGATGGATTGATTTTTCTGCTCGGAGGGGAAGTGAAGCATCTCCTGCTCCTCCATTGTGTCTTCTCTCCGGTGGGTATAGTCCCCACTTCGTAGCTTCAAAAACGGAGAAGCCATCGCTGAGGTTGCGGTCAAAGAATTGCTCACCTCACTATGCACATCTCTCAGCCTTTGCAAATTTACCATTTTCATCATCTTCAGCATGTAGTTTATAATCGATATTGATATATTTAGGATGGAGAATTTTGTCAGCTTAAAAATGAAGGAGGAGGAGAAATTCTCGGTGAATATCCTGTTAATATATTTCGAGAAGAGGAAAAAATAGAAATCATCAAAACTGCTATAGATGGTGTACATTTTTTTATTTTTCAAGAAAGTGTTTATCTGCAGGAAGTATCGTCTCAAAAATTTGTACAATGAGAGAAAGAAGAGCTTCACCAATTTCTTAATGTCAATGTCCTTCTCCCTTTTAAAGGTCTTGTCGGAGTGGGTGAAGACCCAGGTGACCCACTTCCTTTGGAGCATCTCCACGCTGTCTAGCATCTGGAGCACTTTGTTTTGGAAGGACTTGTACACTTCCTGATGGAAGTAGTCACTGCCTCTCCGTTTTATAATTTTCTGAAATATTTTTAAAATTGCCTCGGTGCAGGGGTAGATTTTTTTTTTTTTCTCCTCTTCGTATACCCTGAGGAGGTCTCCGATGAAGCTCGCTTTGTGGTCTTCCACTTGGAACAGGTGCATCAGCGTTACTATGAAGATTTCTTCCAGGCTGAAGTTCTCCGAGGTGTGTTCGTGCGGGAAGCAGCGACGGGAGAAGTTTTCTTCTTTGGGGCCGTCCGAGAAGTTGCTCTGGTTGTCGTGATCACTTTGGCCACTTCGATCGCTGAGACTGGTATCGCTCTCGCTGTCCCTGTCACTGTCCCTGTCACTGCCCATCTCACTGCCCATCTCGCTGCCACTCTCGCTGCCACTCTCGCTGCCACTCTCTCTGTCATCCCCGCTTCCCTTCATGCTTCCCTTCGAGCCTCCCTTCATGCTTCCCCTCCCTGGGGCGGCCAACCGCACCTGGCGCACCTCGTCCATCAGGATGAAGATCTTCAAGAAGGAGATGTCGATGCGGAAGTTCTCCTTGATGTCCATTTGGTCCCTCTCGTACTTGAAGTTGGCTAAGTCGCCGTAATTGCCGCTCCCCCCGGTGTAATTCTCCGAAGCGAAGTTAAGCGCGAGGGGGTCGCCATCACGGTCGCTATGATCGTCATCCCCCTGGTCCTCCTTTTCACTCGTGTGTGTGTTTTCCCTGTCGGAGGAGCTAAACATGTTCCGTTGTTTCTGCTGAGCTCCGTCCCTCTTCTCCCAGCGCAGCAGATCTTCATGTTCGAGATGAGAAAAAATTTGAAAAATGTAAGCATTGAGTTTGTTAATATTGATCTTTTTCAGAAGAAAAAGTAAACAAATTGCTATTTCTTCATTTACTCCATTCATCTCTTTATACTTCAATGAGAAAAAAAAAAGAAACGTGAATAGACTGACAAAGCTGTTGAAGATATCATAACTCAAGCCGAAATAATTATTTAACTTTATTTCGATCAGGACATGGAAACATTTGTTGATTTTTAAAATTTTACAAAAAAAAAGAATAATATACTGGAAGGTGGGGAAGAAATCCTCTCCAAGGAAATCCTTCCTCCTGTTATTGAGAAAATTGCTGTAGATATATTTGCAATAAAAGTCGAGTAAGATGTAATAGTATTCCATATAAGTGATAAAAACGGTACTCGGATTTAACTTCTTCCTTTTGAGCGTCTCCATTATCTTGAAGTAGAGAGAATTTTCCAGAATGGTCACAATAAACTCCTCCGTCGTGTTAACAGCCATCATTCTGTTGTCATTCCTCCTCGAAATGGTATCGATCCTCTTTACCACTTGGTTGAAACTGACTAAATTGGCACTCGTCCCGATGAGAGCCTTCAAAATTCTATATATTGACAACAAGTTATGATTGAAGATGATGAGGTGCTCCACGGAGGAGTCGCTAATTTTGCTGTAAAACATTTCTAATAGGAGACGATTAACATTTTGCAGAATCACGGGGTGGTATAAGGAGCTGTCTCGATGGGTACCTCCCCCCATGGGAAGATTCCCCTCTTCAAAGGTGGCGCTCCCCCCCCGGTGGAGGTTGTCCTTGCTGGATCGGCCATACCACTTCAAATAATCGTAGGAAAAGAAAAGAGTCGAAATTTCAAGCAGGATATTTTTACTTTCTATGGAGATGTAGGAAGACACGATTTTCCTCCTCTCCTGCTGGGTGGTGACAATTTCGGTGCTACTATAACTGAAGTCGTAAAAGAAGTATCTGTGTGCGTACAGGTCGAATTCAGACTGAGTGTCGTCCTCCTGTAGGTATTCCATGCACAGGCGGATGTTCTTCCCCTGTTTTAATATATCCTGGCTAAACAAAATGTAGTCATCTTTCCTGCACAGGCATATGCATATCTTCAGAAACAATTTCAAGTTTATCGTTTTTTTAAAAAATTCCTTCTTCTCGATATGCTTCTTCATATTCTTTATGAGGGAGAAGTTTATGTCTCTTTCGGACATGGAGGTGAAGCCTACGTGGCGCATCCTCCCTCTGACTTTCGCTTTGTCCTCTGTCACGCAGTTGGAGGAGGAGAAATCGTCTCTCCGATCTGCGGCTCCCACTGCTGTGGCTCCCACTGCTGCGGCTGCTCTCGCTCCCATTGGAGGGTTCTTTCCCCCTCTTCCGTCATAGTACTGTGGGTGCTCACTCCGACGGGATCTTTCCCATTTGGGATCTCTACCCAACATGTCGACGCCTCCTCCGCTTCCCCTCTCCTCTGTGTTATCCGAACAACTGTTATTGTTGTTCCCGAAATCTGTGTCGTCGTCGAAGGGGAGGACGTCACCTTCCCTTTCTCCCTCTGTGCAAAGAGCATTGTTAAGCACACGCAGGATCATCCTCTTGTAGACGAAGTTGTCCTCCATGAGGCAGAAGCGGCTGATCAGTTCATACAGGTGAGGTAGACACTGGGCTACCATGCGGATGTTCTCCTCGTAGTTTTTAACATTGTTCTCATCATTAAAGAGGAAGAAAAATTTCATTAAAATGGCTGACTGGGGGGACACACCCTTCACAAGTTGGCTGTGATCTTCCCAAGTCAGGAGATTACTCACTGAAGCGATGAGGAATATTATGGAGTATTCTTTCTGCAGGAGGGTGCTCGTAACGATGTCGCTGTGGGGGGAGTCTCCCCCAATTGCTCCTCCAGCTGCTTCTCCCGTCGCTCCTCCATCTGCTCCTCCCTCCGATACACATATCAAACCGTGGCTGTCTACATGAGAAGAGGACAAAAACATACTCACCATGGGCTTCAAATTGTATTTTGAAAAAATATTCTGTCTCAACTGCATGTAAAAAAAAATATTAATGCAACAAATCTGAACGTTCAGAAAAAGGATAATATATTTATATACCCATGTCCTGTTCTCCACGTCTGTCTTCTTAATCATTTCAAAATAATTGTTTGTATCTTTGTATGTGTCGAAGTATATCTGTAGAAGCTGCTGGATGTTCAGTTTTCCTTCCAGCACCTCGAACAGAAGGTACAGGAAGTTCCTCTCGAACGCCAGATCTTCCGCTTTGTAATTCGGGTAGGCATAAAACACAGCGCACCCCTTCAGCACACACATCACATTTTTGAAGAGGTAAAAATATTCATCGCAATATATGTCGTGCAGTTTGCTCATTTGGATATCGTCGACATTTTTCTCCAGGTGCTCGAAGAGCCGCTCCTCGGCAGCGGCGTCGCCTCCGTCATGGCCGCCATCCCTGCTATAATCATTCACATCGCTCCGCTGACCGCCCCCGCAGTTGGCGGCCGAGCACAGCTCCTCCTGAAAGTACACCCGCATGCAGTGAACCAGCAGCTCCTTGGAGAATCCAAAGAAATACGATTTGGAATCACTGAAGCTTAGATTCTCATTAATAAACTGCTGCAGCTTAATGGAAATAATTTCTTGCCGCTTGTTGTCCGTGCCCAGGTAGGTCAGCAGCTTGCAGTACCTCCTCTCGAAGGCTCTCAGGATTCCCCTCTCCTGTCCTCTGTAACTGTTTGTTGACAGCAGCTCGTAAATTTTTTTATTCGACAGGTAGGGTTCCGCCATTGTGACTGTTTCTCTCGGGGAGAAGGGGGGAGAAGCAAAAGGCGAAGCTTCCTTCCCTTTTTGCAACTACGACAAAGGGGCTGCTCCCGAGAGGAGACTCCTCTTTGGGGGGTGGGGCACTGCTAACCGGTTTGGCCCTCACATGTAGTCCCCTACAGATAGTAAAAACTGTCTTTTCAAAATGACCCAGGGGGGAACTTGCGGCATGCTCACGGCATATATCTTCACGCAGAGCAGGTAAGCGGAGGCACAGCTAACTAATACGCATGTGTGTGGCAATTATTCCCCTCTCTTTATTATGCCCCTCTTTTTTGCTTTCTCAAATGAGGGACGTTGCGCGGGGTACTGGTGGCAGTCCTCCACAAAGCTGGTCAGCTAGGAAGGAATCCGGGGACGCAACAGAGGTGGTGATGACTCGTTGTGGCTGCTCCTTTTTCCCGCTCGTTGTGAGCCGTCTTTGGGGGGAGCCTCTCGATCAGCCAAGGGGGGTCGCCCGAGCTGCAGTATGCATGGCGAGAGAATCTCCCCCTCTGCTCAGATTGGGTAAAACGCAAAGATATACAAAAAATGGAAAAAATAAAATAAAAAAAAGCGCAATGCGCAAAATGCGAACAAGTGGAACAAATGAAAAAGGCCCCTTCGCTTGGCAGTTCGCTCAAATGGTTTCCTTTTTTTGGAAATTTTCGGCAAACTCCTTTGCTCCTCTTTTGTTCAACTTTTTGCGCCTTCTTTGTTCAAATTTTTTCGCCTTTTTTCCCCACGGTTTTTCCCACTTTTCTGTGAAGGTAAACCCCGTCGTATGCATGTCGACTTGGCTTCCTACACAAGAAACCATTTAAAGAGGCGGTTGTTCTGGTTCCACGTGGTGCGCGCCGCGGCACTTACCTGAAAGGAGCCAGCTTCCCTGTTCGGACGCCACGAATACGGGTGCAAATCCGTTCAAAACGCGTTCAAATGGATAATTACCCCTGCGCAGTCGGTGTGGCCGCTGCACTCCATCCTGTCCAACAGCAAGTCCGACAGAAGAAAAAAAAAAAAAAAAAAAAAAAAAAAATTTCCGTGGTTTGTGGCGAGCTGTTCCGCTTTCCTTTCAGGGTTCCGCTTCAACTCACCAAAAGTGCGGATCCCTTACAGGGGGATTCTTCCACGCGCACCAGTTTGATAGTTGCGAAAGAGAGTAGCTGCCCGCGTGCACTCGTATGTCCAAGCGCTTAAACGAGTCCACTTACCTGTGAGTGTTACACGAGTGAGTTGCTACTTGGGTAAGTGCATACCCGTGTGAGTGCTACTTGAGTTGCTACACGAGTGCCACACGCATGCATTTTTTATTGTTGTACTTGTGTGCCCCCCCGGCGATGGCGACAGAGGCGGCAGCGCTCTGATGCAGGGGAACGCGGAACATTTCTTAAGGGGGATCCGGGAAAAAAAGAAAAAAGAAAATGCTGCCCAAACAGATCCCACACGTCTCCGCACATGTTGGTCTAGTATATGCACTGAGGAGTGCACATGCTTTTACATAAGCATATATGTACTGCACGCCTATTTTTGCGTCCGCTTGGGGAAAGGCTTAATGGCTCACTGCTCTCCTGGGCAAGGCGCAGCGATGCACGAAGAGATCCACGAAGCGATCCACGGAGCAATCCACGCGGCTCCATGCGGGGCATTTTCTCCCTCTCGCAGAACATATAGCACTTTGCGAAGCGTTCATTCTATTCAGTCGCGTCGCATGCCGAGGAGCGGAGTCGAATTTTGCACTTTTCTTTTCTCCTCTGCCAGTTCACCCCATTACCCCCGTATGCTCCCCCGAGAAAACGCGCCCGCTCTCATTTGCTACGTTCTGGTTGGGTCCCTCACTCTTTTCCAAGCTCCTGTTCCACTTCCCCAATTTTAAAGCTTTTTTTTTTTTTCACTAACCAGTATGTATTATTGTTCATACAAAAGTAGCAAAAAAAAAAAAAAAAATATCTCCAAGGGGGAAATAAAAAAAAAAAGTAAAAAAAAAAACAAATTAAAACAAACAGATGAGTAACAAATAATAAACAAGTGAAAGGAAGAGAGAAGAAAAGAAAAGGGTGGCAACCACACTTTGCCAGGAGAGATCTCATATAAATATAGTCTCATTTAACGAGCGTAGCCTTTTGGTACATGATTGCTTTTTTACGTGTGCTTTCAACTGTGCGTCGAGTTGGGCGCGCGTGGAGAGGGGGGCAGCACAGGGGGGAATGAGGTCCAACTGCCCATCCCCAGCGGGAGTAGCAATATAAAAACTGGGAAAATCGTATCTTTTCACCCAACTGTGTAATCGCCCCGCTTCGAACGAATGAGTACCCCCGTCGTTGGAAATTAAACCCACAAGGGGGAAGGGGGGGGCACACCTCAGACGTCCTGCGTGTTGTCACCAGTGTGAACACGCAACTCTGTTAATAGGCAACTCTGTCAATAAGCAACTTTGTCAATACACCCCCCCTAACACATGCAAAGGCCACTAGACGATTTTTCTCCCCTTTTTTGTCAATCCATTTTTCCGCTTCGCCTTGCATCTTTCCCCCTCCTCAGTCTCCACTCTTTGACCAAAGATGTTCAGAATGGACACAACGTCTAGGGGGGACGGAGGGAGCGACTCGGAAAACGCAGACAGTAATAGCCCGCCGGGGGACTCAAGGGACGACCCAATTTCGGGGGATGGAAACAACAGCAGTGATGGTGGCAGCCAAGTCGCTGCGGAAGATCCATCGCATAACAGCAGTGACAGTCAGAAGGAGAAGGACAGCTCGGACGGCGTTTCGCGCAAAAGCGAAAAGAGAGACCCAGATAAGGAAGAACTCAAAATGTTGAGCGAAACGGAGGAAGAAAGTCGGAGGAGAAAATCCTCCAGAACTGAAAGAAAAAAAAAGGCATACAAAAAAAGTGAACACTATAAGAAGTATTTCACCAAGAAGGGGCACCAGGGAGATTCCTCTAGCAGGAGGAAGGACACCGGAGATGATTCCGATGAAAACTTCTTTTCTGCAAAAAAAAAAATCGCGAAAAAAAATGACGACCATTGTGGAAGGAGAGGGGACCAAGTGGACGAAGAGAATGTCGACATGTCCATTTTTAACGATGAGAATGGGGCATGCTCCATTTTTTCGAGGTCTCAGGATGGACGAGGTGAAGGCAGGGGACGCAATCGAAGGAGCGGCACATCGTCTTCGCGCCGGTCCCCATCTAGGTCTTCTTCACCGCAGTCATCCTCCAAGTCGTCATCGCGGAGGTCTTCCTCCCGGCCCGCTTCTCCCTCTTCTGCCTCGCGCTCGAGGGGGCGCCGGGAAGGCTCAAGTGGGATCGGGCCGTCCGACCCGGAGAGCGCAGGGCGCTATCGCGACGAGGGAAGCGAAAGCGGGGGAAGCAGCAGAAGCGGAAGAAACAGTAGACGCGGGAGACGTGGGAGAAGCCGCCCCCCCGAAGAAGCCCCCCGCCTAATCAACAACATCAAACGGTTCTGTAGCAGCATCATCACGAAGAGAAGAAACGAACCCGAGGGAATCTCGCCGTCCAGTGCTCTCAACAAGAGGAAGGAGTTCCTACTAAACATCCTCTCAAATTCGAACGAAATTAACTTAAAGATAGGTGAGAGCCAAGAGAAGGTACGAGATGTGAAGAAAGACAAGGAAGACTTGATGAAAAGTGAAAAAATAATGAAGAACATTTTGAATCTAGGAGAAACACCCCACGCGGATGATTCATATTATAGTAGAGCCAACTTTGTCAGCTCGATGATCCCACAGGGGGATAATCAGACGATGAGGACATCCGGGGTGATGAACTACATGGGAGGGTTGCAACCCACAGGAGAGGACGACACCATTGGAACGGGGACGACGACAACCACCACGTATATACAGTCAGCGAAAGAGGAAGAGCTGAGCGGAAGGATGATGAGGAGGAGTAGGGACAAAGGGGAACCACTCCACCAGAAGGACAAGTGGGAAAGCAACAAAATGAGAAACATAAGTTCAGTTTACGACAAATACAAAATATTGATAACGGATATCAAGTCAGGAGAGTATCTAAATTCGATAGAATCTAAGTTAAATGTTATCGAGAATTCTCTCCTGTGCATGTCCGATTTACAAGGTGGCACCGATGATAGGGTGGACGTGAAGAAGAAGCTCACTGATCTTTTTGACACAGCGGTTGATCGGCTGATGGAGAGTTACGAAGACGTGAAGAAGAAAAACGACGCGCAGAAGCTACACAAGGAGCAACTCAATCTGACGTGCGATTTTAATCTTTTCCTTCGTCTCTGCAAAACGATGCTCACCGATCAGCAGATGGTCTATAATAATAGCAAGAAGAATATCATTTTTTATAATAACATTTGTAAGGTGAATTATGTCTTGGGGATGAATAGGAACAGGGACATTCTCTTCAATTTGCACTGCAGGAGGGGGTACTTGGTCCTTTCGGAGCGTGCCGCCCAAGGGGATCGAAGCGAGTGTGATGGATCCCGTGAAGGACTTCATTCCGTGGGACTTCCTTCCGGAGGAAGTGCTTCCCCCCGACGAGTGCCCCATATGCGTTACGACAAAAAGGGGGTCATCGAAAAGCTGAACCTCCTCTGGTTTTATGAGCAGAAAGAAGAGGCGCACTATTTGCACCTCTACAATCTGAACAATCTAAATAGCAAAGTGATGTCTGTCCTTATCGATTCCGCACTGGACTGTATCGACGTGGTCTTCCTAAACACCTTTATCCCGTTGGACTCCTTCTACAATTCAATGAAGAATTACTACCTAATGGTAGTAACGGAGTTATCCTTCTACATTTTCAACGTCCATTTGTATTTTAACTGTGAGGAGGACTATAATGTATCGATTAGTGAGCAGCTGATATATCAGAACATATACCCCTTTTACTTCAATATATACCTTTTTTTGTTGTTCAAGCTGAGGAAGGAAGACAAGAAAAGGAGGTTTCACTTCGTCAAATCGTTTGAGAAGAATGAGAGGATCTTCCTCGGTGCCGATGACGGCAATGTGTATGAATTCATTTATGAGAGGGAAGAGCTATTCAAGCCCCTCAGCATTTTTAAAAGGATTATCTTCACCACGCTGAGTGCGGTAGTCAGTGGAGTGAATGAGGCGCTGTTTTCTCGCAATCGCTTGGATGACCACGGGATGTCTGGCAATGACTCCTATTCGGATGAGCAGAATGGAAGCTTCCGCGGCAGCTACACCCGGAGCTACAGCGGCAGCGCGTCCGCGACGAGCAGCGCCAGAAGCGACAGCCCTCCAAGTGGGACCCCTCCAAGTAGAAGCCAGCGAAGTAGGAGCGAGCGAACACGCAGGAGCACCTCGCATAGCGGCACCTCTCGAAGCCGCACCTCACGCAGTCGCAGCAGGACCCAAAGGACGCTCGGAAGTAGTCCTCACCGGAGCAGCCCCAACAGAAGTAATCCGCAACGGAGCCGAAGCCCCTATGTGGCAGGCCCATCCCCCCCAACGCAGCACCCAGACGATGAAGAAGACACACTAAACGGATACAATAAGAACATTTACTGCGACGACATTGAGCAAGTACCAGTGAAGTACCATCTCAAGAAAATAATCAGCACGTATTTCATAAAATATTTCTCCTTCTTTAAAAATAAAGTGAGGAAGATGTTGGTGGATAATGAGAGATCCATTCTGTACGTCCTTTATGAGAATAGCGATCTGTATGTTAAGATGCTGACTAATGTCCATGGGGGGGGGAGTTCCCGGAATTACTTATCCGAGACGATTATCTTCAGCAAGAGCGATCTGGTCTCCGAGATGGGGAACATTTACTTCGTGGACGACAACACTTCTGGGTATCCGGACGGATTCGTCGGGGTCCCACCCGGCGAGGCGTTTTACGGGGGCATGGCGGGGCGAAACGTTGGAGGGAACCACGTAGGACGAGGGGCCACCCTGGGAGGGGGTCACTTCGGAGGGGGTAACCTTGCAGGGGGGAACTTCGGAGGGGGCAATTTCGGAAGTCCCCATTTTGGAAGTTCCCATTTTGGAAGTTCCCATTTTGGAAGCTCCCACTTTGGAGGTGCCAACTTGGGAAATCCCCCCTTCGGAAGCGGCCCCCCGCAAGGGCAGCCATCCGAAGCGAATCGCTTCTTCTACCCAACCAACCTAGAGCACAGCGTGCTGAACAAACTGAGCATCATCGACATGCACATAAATCACCTGCACGAGAGGAGCAACGTATGTCTCAAATTGGTCGACAATAACTGCAACATTTATTATCTCTCCCTCGTGAGGTCTCCCGAAACGAACTCATACAAAATGGTGCTGAAGGATTTTCAGAATTTTCCCCACAAAAAGGGATTACAGATTAACGACAAGGACCACCGCATTTTGTTTACTCATCATTTGAAGAATCTATTTATCGTTCTTAAGAGGAGGAAGGATAAAGTCAGGGATGCAGGCGGGGGAGGAGGAGCCCCTGACATTCCCACCCCTAACGAAAGGAACAACAGGAAGGACTCAACAACCGATCGGCAGGAGGTAGAAGGGGTTAGAGGTGCAGATCCCTTTGCGCAGGGCCGTCACATGGGGAGGTTTCCCCTGAAGAGCGATGGTGGCTCCATCAACGGGGTTAGCGGCTCTCCTAATTTACGCGAATTTCCCGAGGGGGATAGGCGAAGGAAAGAGGGCCATTGGGGGAGGATGATCCACGGAGGAGAAGCGGGCCAAGACCACTACAGCGATGTGGGAAGCAGGAGCAGCACTGAAGACGATCACTACGACCACCACTACGACAGTGATGGGAAGGGTGTGCGCCACGCTGAAAGAGGGGAAACCGGACAGAAGAAGCGGGATCGAACTTCTTCTTCTTCTCCTCCTCCTTCTTCACCCCCACAGCCCTGTTACAAACTGAAGTTACTAACCACCTGCGACGAAGGGAGCGACCCAAGTGTAGGAAGCAACCCAATCCAATCGTCCACTTCGAAGAAAAATAAGTTCCTCTTTAGGCAGTCCAATGAGTACTACATAAACGAAGAAATTATCGCCATTTTGTATAAAAAACGGAATTCGAATTTTCACGGATTCTTTGAGCAATCGCAGAAGAGCAACATTATAAAGGATTTCTACCTTGACAGACTTAGGCATGACAGCATCAACCGCCCGGGCTCGAAGAATGAGCAGAACGCGATGAGGATCGGTTATGGTGGCAACTACGGCGGCAATTATAGCGGAAATTACGGCGGCAATTATAGCGGAAATTACGGCGACAATTATAGCGGCAACCATGGCGGCAATTATTGCGGAAACTTGGACCCCGTGAACGGACCCTTGAGGGGAGAAGATGGCGGCCAGGCCATGTACTACGGGGGAGGTCCCTCTGCGATTGGCGGGGTTAGCGGCGTTGGCACTCCTGGAGGTGTTTCCGGTGGCGCGCCCAACTACTACGACAGCAACTTCCTCGTTAACAATAACAATTTCTTCTTTAAGGACGACGGAGGAGAGCTCCCCCGAAGAAGGTCCATCATCCCCGAACAGGCATCCGGACGCCTGGAAAGCATACCCCCCTTCTTCCTAAATGAACACACCGTCAGTGAATACCATGACTACTACGATCTTATCATCATCACGAAGAAGCGAATATACTACATCAGCCAAAATAGCCGCACGAAAATAATAGAGAAAATGTTGAACCATTTTATAACCCATAAAATGACCTCTGAAAATAGGAACATCCGATGTGTGCTTCTAAATGAGATGCGACTCAGGGGTGCGTGCAATGGGGATGTCCCCGATGGAGCCAAGTTGGATGATGACCCCTTTGCAGGGAGGTCTCCCCGGTCGATCGGCGTAACCGTTCAGCCAATTGCTGTAACAACCGCTGGCGCAACCGCTACGACGGTTGCCACCCCTGGAGGCATTCCCCCCGCTGTGTCGAATGACTCGAGTCATCACGAAATGGCCTACCACTACTACGTCAATCAGATCATAAAAATGGTCTCGAGGGATGAGTTTCTATATGTAATCTGGTCCCTGCTGCTCAATCACGTGTACAGATACGAAATAATGTGCTTTAACAATGTGAATAGCAGTGGGGGTAGGAAAATGCTTCGAGGGAGTGACAAACCTGAGGACGGATGGTACTACCGCCATGGGGACACTTCAATGGGGGGGGTCAACATGAGAGATTACGAACCGATGACCAGACGAGGGGATTACTACGGGCAACACCCCCCTTACCAAAATCAGAAGGGGAAGAGAAAGGGACAAAGAGTTGTTCACTTCGAAGGGGGGGTGAACGAAAACATACGAGCGGCGTCTCCCTCTGCAGGAACTGCAAGAAGACGAAGAAGGAGACATAATCGTCGCAGCAGAAGCAACAGTAGCACGAGCAGCATCATGGGGGGGGGAAGTGAATACGGAAGGATGAAACATACGGGACATAGAAAAATAGGAACGAATCAAATAGACTACGATATTCTTAACAAAATTTATCGGCCCACCCCCTTCAAGTTTGGCTTCTTGGACAAAGACGCGGACTACATCATTAAGCAAGGCAAGCTTCAGAGAGCCATGGAGCTCGAAATTAAGACGAGAAAGATTAAGGGAATAAATCACCTGTTTGACGACACGATGGAGGATTTAGAAGCGGAAGAAGAGGGAGAAGCGTCAGAAGGAGCAGGAGCAGCGGCAGACCAAGACCAACAGGGTGATGGCCGGATGGGTGGACGGTCGCTTCGCATGTTAAAGGGTGACCCTGTCGCCGACCCCTCCAATGAGAAAGTGCTCCAAAACAATTCTGGCTACTACAACTTCTTCAATGTGTGCCAGAAGAGAGCCACGAAGGAAAAACTGCTCGAAGCGGAGAGGAACCGAAGTGGAAATTTTGCCTTTGAATATCTAACGAACAAAAATTTCGATATTTTTTTTTTGAAAAATGTCAACATGTATCATAACTCGATGCATGTTCTGTCGAGAGGGCTGCTGCTACTGCTCAGTCGTCTTCTCAAACCGGTGATGTTTATTCATCTGTTTTCCTACGAGAGGTACCGCGACACGCACGTTTTTAAGTGCGCGGGGCGAAGTGTTGTCGGTGGAAATGTTGGCCGACGAAGTGCTGACGGGCGAAGTGCTGACGGGCAAACTTCTGACAGGCGACGTGCTGATGGCCCCCGGAAGGCCAGGAAAGTGATGCGGACGGCGGAGGGTGGCAGGGAAGACACACACGTAGGCATCTCAGTTATTTCAAATCAGAGGAACGATGAAGACGAGGAGTCCTTTTATAACATGCGAGACTTCTGCATCATCCGAATGAATGACGAAGAAATGTACGCGAAGAAGAAGCGAAAGAGAAGTTGGTACGAAGCCAACGACGACGTGTACATACTGACGGGTAATGTCCCCCTAGACTGTTGCCTCAATTTGATAGAGAAGCTCAAGTGCCTGAACCTCTGCGTCAGCATCATCCTTACGACTTTGTTGAAAAAAAAAAAAGACTTCTCAGAAAAAATGAAAGGACTGACTGACCCATCCATTGCAAACGTTTACTCCGACTACACGATCCTAATGACGAACGAAGTAAATGAGTTCTATGCCATCTTAAATTTTATCAATTTCAGCATTGAGTACCTGCTGATTTATTCTATCCTCATTTGTGATTATTACAAGAATAAGACAATAATGAGGAGAAAGAACATTGGGACGAATCAGAATTTTCTCTACCTTCCAAGTACCCTCTTTGATCTCCTTATTAAGTGCAATTTTATGAAAACGTATTTAAGCAGAACGTACAGGGATATTCTGAAGCAGTGTCTTTTTAACATCATTAAATCGGGGAAATATATCCCTGTGGACTTTTTCCAAGGGTATATAATTCACAAGAATGAATTTCTGGCTCTTTTTCTTATTAAGAAGATTGAGGAGGAGGTTTACATGAAGAAGAAAATGAAGATAAAAAACGACTACGGGATGTTTCGTAGTTCTGGAGAACCGGGTACGCGAGGCCTTGGGGTGGGGATCCCCAATGGAGACGGCCACGCCGGGGGGGGAAGCTTCTTTCGCGGTGGAACTGCTCTTGGGAGAGAGCCCTCCGCGCTGGACAAATTCGACGACCTGCTCGCGTCGGAGAAACGGGCGGAACATTTCATACACGAGAATTTGAAAGACGCCCTCATCAGCATCGACATCTTTAAGCTGATTATCCTTCTCTACAAAGCGGACTACTACCGCTGCGCCAGCACACTGATCACTCTATACATCGATGCGTATAATAAGAAGCTGCTCATGGAGGGAGGGAAAAAAGGGAAGAGGGAGAAATTCATTGAAAAGAAGAGCACCCCCTGGTTAACGCAGGACATTCTGTTTTGCCACCCCACTGGGGAGAGTTCCCCCTACAGCTACGGTAGCAGCAACTACAGCAACATCAGAAGAAGAGTGTCCTCCCTGATCCGCAACATGGACGTGGAATACACATATGACTACTTCGTCCTTTTCGAAAACTGCTTCCTCCCCATCGAGAAAATCATACACGTGAATTACACAAAATATTTACTCAAAAATAATGAAAAAAAAAAAAAAAAAATTAAAACATTTCTGACAACACTTCTAGAATATTCCAGCGACATTAACTTGCACTTCTTTCTCTTTAACCTCATTTTGTACAAATGCGGTAATCAGTTTCCTTGTCCCATTTCGGAGCTCAGAATATCTCCGCACCTTTACTACTTTATCAAGCTAAACGACATGAACATCCCGGATGCTTATGTGTATTACTTCTCCGAAAGGAAATATCAGGACATGGTAATTTTTTATGCCAGGCAGGGCTTCTGTTCCTGGGGAGAGCCTCACCCGGGCAAGCCCACCCTCCGGACTCTCTATCAGAGCGAGGTGCAGGGCAGGCCCAATCCGGGGGGGCAACCAGGGGAGCAACAGAAGAAGCAATCGGAGGAGCAACAGAAGAAGCAATCGGAGGAGCAACAGAAGAAGCAATTGGAGGAGCAACAGAAGAAGCAATTGGAGGAGCAACAGAAGAAGCAAACAGAGGAGCAAACAAAGAAGCAGACGGATAACAAAACAGGGAACCACGCGGAGGAGAGGACCCCCCGCGAGGGGAGCCACCCGTTGGGTAAGAAAGGCACCATTCTGGGTGGCAAACACAAGCGCGCGACCGTCAAGGGGGACTCGGGCGCGGCGGCACCCACCCCGTTGGGGAATAGCCTCCCCAGGGGGGCCCTCCACCGTGGAGAAGCCAACGGGGTGAATCAAGGCAGCGATGGACATGGCATCCATCCACATGACGGAAGAGAACTCCATACTGACCCTGTTGGGATGGAACCCACAGTGGAGTACGACCCCCACAGCAGCGAACTGCTGGCCGAATTGGCTCACAACAACTATGTATATGAAAACAACTTCATCGGAAATAGCTACCTGATGTCGAACCCTATGTACACGCATGAGACGAAGGAAATCTTTCGTAGCATTTATAAGTACCTTTACTCCATTTTGTCCTACCCGAGCTTAAAGAGGCGGATCGAATTTGTCGAATGTTGTATGAGAGCGAAGATATTTATCATTCAGTACAGCGCGAGGAGTCTGAAGGGGACGGGTTTGCACAAAAACACCTTCCTGAGTGAATACATGGATGTGTATGCGCCTGGTGGTGGCTTATCCCATGGAGGAAAGAGCCAAGGGAGCGGGGTCGACGATCGAGGGAGTGAACGAGCAAAGAAGAAGAAGAAGGCGTTACATGAGCTACTAAACACGAGCGTTACGTTCAAGAAAGAGGTCATAAAAAATTACTACGCGATTGATAAGGGAATCACGTACGATCCGACGTTTGCCAACACCCTGAAGGAGCTGATCAGAAAAAACACTTGCTTCTTCAAGCCGAAAGAGGACTATCTGCAGAAACAGAGTACGTATTTTCTACACCTGAAGGAGATAAAGAAATGCAGAACGGCCCTCAACTACCAGAAGTTGCTCTTTCACGAAATTGTCAATCTGTTTGTTTTCTATGTGTATAAATTCTGCAGTTGGGATGTCGTGAAAAATTATTTTCCCGTCTTGATGATCGGCACGAAAGAGGATCTACTCCATGTCCTAATCCATTTGGAAAATATAAACAAGGAAGAAATCGATATTGTGAAAAAGTCCTTCTCCAATATGTATGAATATTTATCCAAAAGCAAATTTGAGTATAGAGATGACGTGATTACGGATTACAATTATAAGATTCAAAATCACCTGAACGGCAAGGTAAATTTGATTCGAATTGTGGACATCATTGACACATTTAAGGAGTACTTATTTACAATACAAAAATGTATTCATACGAAAGAGGAACTAAAGGATAAGATTTTCTTCAACAGTAAGTTTCTTTTTCAGAATTTTTTGCCATCATTCAATCTGCTCAAGTTAATAATTTTATGCGATAAGAAGAAGGAAAAAATAAAGAATATGAATACGAACTGTTTTTCAACAGTGAATCACATGATCAGGAATGACACATCTAAATGTAGTTCGCGTACCTTTTCTAAGTATTCTTTTTACTTCGAGAGGTTACTTGACTTTGCCTTTTCTCTCTCCATCACGTTCGAAAATATTAATTTCGTCATAAATTACATTGGGGATGTGATTAAGCTGAATGACGTGAAATTTAAGAATTGCCTCTATCTGCTCGTCACGGTAAAGCTGCACAAGTTTATGAATAATCTGTTCGAAATGGAGAAGGTTAGGAGTCTCATGAAGAACAAGGTGGACCTGCTACGTAAGAGGCAGCATAGTTCGGTGGGACCTCTCCACCTCATTTATTTCCTCAACTGCGTCCCCTTGATTTATTTGGACCCCCAGATGAACGTCATTTTGATTAATGAGTCGTATGAGTATACTATGAACCAGGACCGAATTATTTTCTCCAAACTGTCTCCCTTTTCGCTCGTCTCCAAGGCGGTTAACCACAAGCTGAGGAGCGTCTACTCGTACCACGACTACACGGAGAACTACACGGGGGGGGCGGAACCCGGCGAGGGGCATGCCAACGAAGGGCCAACCGACGAGGACGACGGGACAGACCGCACTAGCGAAGCCAACCGCCCCGACCGAGCCAACCGCCGAACCCCCGCGGAGGATTTCCTCGCCAAGCAGATCCAGCGGAACAGCACAGCCATCGACCGCAACGACCGGAAGGCCCTCTACCACCTCTACAACGTGAACTACTGCTTTAACGAAAATGACTACGGCCACGCCGCGCGGGGAGGCTCCAACGCTGGGAAAGGTGCCCCGAATTCTGCTCCCCCGGCCCCGGACCTTATCGTCTTGACGTACAGAAATTATTGCTCCTACATTGTCTGGATTGCTAACCTGCTCCTTAACCACAAAATTGAATACAAGGCCTTAATCAATGTGTACGTAAATATCCAAAGCAACATTAAACACCAGAGAGCGTCTCAGATGGAAGAACACGAAATTGCCGTCATACTCTACTACCTCTTTACCATGTGGATTAATGGAGACAAGAATAACTGCTCTTTTTTCTTCTACAATGAGGAAAAGTGTTTTAACGAGCAGAACAGCATTGGCTGTTTTTTCAAGGACAAAAATGGGCAGGTCGAATATATAAACAACTGCTCGCTTATCACTTTGCTGAAGGAGCTACTCTCCAGGGCGGAGTTTTACTTCGAGTACACATCCGATGCGGCTTCTCGCAACTATGACATCAGCTGTGTCATTTTGGACCCCTCCATATATGACAATGAGAAGGTGAGCAAGTCGTCCGTTGATATTTTGAAGAAATTTTTCGACAGCATTTATGTCACCTTTAACGAGGTGATGGCGAAGATGCCCGTACTCAACCACATCGTCGAGTTCCAGGCCATCCAGGCCTTCCTCAAGCGCTTCAAACTGTACTTGGAGGAGATCGCCTGCCGGATCACGCTCAGCGAGGGGCCCTTCGTTTGAGCGGGGGGGCGGTGTAGCGGCGAGGCTGCCCTGTGGCGAACGCGTGAGCCATATCCTCGACATGCGCCACGCACGTGTTCATTTTTAACAAGAATTTTTTTATTTTTTATGACTGGAAATACTTTTGGGGGCCTCTTCTCCCTCCAGGTTGACAAATTTGTTTTCCACAAAAGGGAAAGAAAAAACACCTCCCTACCTTCCGTTTTTCCCCTTCGCGGGAAGTGTTCGACAGCGCAGCAGTAGGATTAGGAATAAAATGGAGGAAACTTTTTTTTTTTTTCTGAGGAGGCCGCTTTACACATGTGTTAGCTCTCTTTTCTTTTCCTCCCCCTTTGGCAACTATTTTCCCATTTTTGCGGCACAAAAAAGTAGTAACGTAAGAACTAAGGGGTGGTCTCTCCCCTCCTTCATCGAAGTTGAATATGCGTGAGTGACGGCGGCGCCGAGGTAGGAAAAGTCACCCGACGGGTATGTGGCGATGGCAATAGCCGTGGCGAGGAGTCCCTCTTGTGATAAACTGCTACCCATTTTGGGGATATTTTTTTCTGGGGGGCCTTTTTTAAGCGCCCCATTTTTATGTACAACAATTTTTCCGCTTCCTACTTTTTTTTATCTTTCAACAAAGAAAACCCCCTAAGGGATCATCATATGAAAAAGAAAAAAAAAAAAAAAAAAAAAAAGAAAAAGAAACCAATCGAGAAAAAACTGATGGCAAGAAAAATCCCTACCTCTCTCCCCACTCCTGTGCATGCAAAAAAAAAAAAAAAAAGTTCAACTTAGAACAAAAAAGTTGTCAAAAAATTCGGGCAAAGAAGTTGCCACACAAAAGTGTGAAGAAGAGAAAAAAAAAGGCTTTTCCTACTTCCACTGTTCTTTCCCTTTCTCTCTCCCCCGCGGGGGAATAAGTACCGAAAATGCGGAGCAGCAAACCATTTTCCACTTCGAGCGGGTTTCGCGGCTACGTGCCTCAGCATCACCACAGCGGGAATGCAGAAGGGGAGACTGGGCGGCTGCAGATAAGCACTACACACACTGTGCGCAAAAAAAAAAGGAGCAACAAAGGGAGCAAAACATGGCGCAAAAATTAAGGAGCAAAAAATGGCAAAAAAAAAAGGGGAAAACCTGTTTTCTCCGTTCCTTCACCACTTTCCATTTGTTCCTGCACCATTTAACTTTGCCAGATATATTTTCCCCCTCTTTGTAATGTCCCTCTACAAAGAACCTTCCACGTGTTAGCACACCCTTTTTGGAATGCTACTTCCCCGACCCCTTCCCCTTATTCCTCTTTCTCCTTTTTCCATCCACACTATAAGTGATGTCACTTTTTTGTAATTTTTTTTTTTTTAAATTTGTCAAGTACATACAGGGAGATAAAGCAAACATGATAAAATAAAAAATATTTTTTTTTTTTTTCTGGTACCACCGCTGTAATGAAAAGAAGTCGCTTTTTTTTCGTTTCCATTTTTTTTTGCCTATCTCAAGAGAGCAGCCTCCAGTTGAGCAAGAAACTGTTGGGCGCGAACTCCTCCCTCAAGGAGCATGATGAAGACGATTACGAGCAGGCGCAGAAAAAGACGAGGACGTGGCCGACCGCCGCGGTGCCGGAGGTGGATGGCGATAGGTGTTTGATTTTCTCCGCCACGGAGGGGGACCCCACCAAGTAAGAGCCCCTTCACGCTGTGTGGCGTCAGTATGCGCGATCACGTACACACTAAATGGCTCGCAAGCACAAACACACACTCATC